CAAAAATAAACTCAATGTCGCAAATGCTGAAAATGTCCTCCATTCACTATTTGGCATTCTCCAAGACGATAGTAAAAGCTGTCCACAGCATTCTGAATGACTTCAGCTGGTAAATTATGCATCTCCGCCCTAATCTTGTTCTTTAAATTCTCAATATTATCCGGTCTGTCCTGGTAGACTCTTTCTTTCAAATATCCCCAAAGAAAATAATCCAGGGGTGTTAAGTCGGGGGATCTTGGCGGCCATTCAACTGTACCCCGTCTACCAATCCAGCGATTTGGAAACATTTCATCTAAGTATCTTCGAACATCAATACCAAAATGTGGGGGAGCGCCATCTTGTTGGAACCAAATTCTTTCATTCGGTATATCTGGATCAATTTCATGAGGGAAAATCACAGCTAGAGCAGGTATCAGGTCAAATGTTAGGAAATCCAGGTAGCGTGCGGCAGTAAGATTTTCTTCAAAAAAGAATGGGCCCAAGATTCTGTTGTTGATGATACCTGCCCATACATTAACTTTTTGTGGATGCTGCGTATGCGATTCGCATGTCCAGTGTGGATTTTCCTGGGACCAAAAGCGATAGTTGTGCCTGTTAACCACTCCATTTAAATAAAACGTAGCTTCATCCGAAAAAAGTACGTCTCGTTGAAAACCATTATTGTCGTCACACCGTCTCATCATTTCCTCACAAAATTGTAATCGCCTATCATAATCGTCTTCCAAAAGCTCTTGGACAAGACATACCTTATAGGGGTGGTATTTCTCTTGTTTCAGAAACATTCGAATTGCAGTTCGAGAAGCATCGTGATTGCGGGCCAATGAAACAGTTGAAGTATGAGGATTTTCAACAAGTTCTAATGCAATGTCTAATTTCTTTTCTTCATTCAAAGCACGTGCCCGTCCAGTTTTGGGCAAAGTCTGTACTGTACCGTGTTCCTCAAATTTGTGAAATATTTTACTAACTGTCCCTTGCGAGATTTGGTTTTCGGGATATTTCGCATTAAATAAATCGCGCACTTCAGCCTGACTTCTTATTTTGTCTCCACATCCAAGCAATATCAAGATTTCGATGCGTTGCCTTTCCGACAATACCATTGCAATTCAGTAAATAACTTGATTTTGACACAATAGTAACGTTTCGAACTCCAATTTACAACTAAAGCGAAAAATTAACCAGAAAGCCTGGCAAGTAAGTGGTGCCAAAAAAACGCAACATAAAAAATATATCTTTTTTGCGTTAGCAGTGATAGGTACAGTTTCAAATTCTTTATTTTATTCTGTGCAAATTCATGGAGGATAACACTGAAGATAATTAAATTTTATTTCACTTGTTAAGTAGGTGTTTTATACAACCCTAAAAACCTTGCTATTGAAAAAATAAAACTTGTTTATTTGGTATGGCTGGATTCGGTTTTCTATAAGCTTTTCAACGAGCCCCCTCATGCCTTATGTTTCCATTTGAAAAAAAAAGTAGGGGTAGCTGGGGGTTAGGGTGTTGAAGAAAAATTAATTATTATATAATCCAAAGATGGGAAAAAATCAGTCAGTTAACGTGTTTCGGCGTTTATAAAAAAATTAACTCATTCAAAAGATATGAATTTTATTCCGTACTTCTGGCCATCCCTGTATTTATCTAATTAACATATCGTTTAAAATTAGACATCATTTTCTTGCAGGTATTGAATATTAGTAGAGTCTGCTCGAGAGCTATTTCCAAAATGTTGAGGCATAGCATTTACTTCTAGTAGAAAGTATATTTATAAAAAATGAAGCATTTACTTGCCGCAAACGATGCTTTTCCTCGATGTACTATGAGTACAAAGTTTTGCTTTGATTTTTATGCATATAAATTTAAGTAAAAACTAGCTTTTCCTATAGTAAAATGATTATTTCCTTTTATTTATGCTACACTTTATAACTCCAATTTATTTATTTTAAAGCCATTTTTTTAATTGTTTTATGATAAGTTTAATGCTGTCCTTAATGTGTATAAATTAATTGTTCATAATGGTCTGGCAAACTGGGATCGCAGACTTCAGTTATCAACGCACCCAGTAGCTTTGGTGCATTGAGTCACAGTCACATTTAGGTCGAAAGAATAAATTAACTTTAAAAAATCACTTATAATTACTATTCCTTCAAATAGAACACTGGAGTCATCTAAAGTTACAATTTTCTTATGTAGGTGTGTACATAAGTATAGGGACCCCTGAAGATGCCACAAATAAATAATTCTAGAGAGTATCTTTTTAGCTTCGGCCTTATTAAGGTTCATACTTTTCCTTTACAACGAAGTTAAGCCTCCTTAAATTCATGGTAGTAACCCCAAGTCCGACCCTTACGCTTCGAAGATTCCTCCTTACAGTGGTTTGGTCACGCAGTAGGCATCCCACAGTTTCAGCGGAATAATCCCGGCAAAGCAGGTCGGCCTCTATTGTAGTCTGGGGTGCGCCGGCATGTAGCCATCGGCCAAGGGCCGGGGACATTTTTGTTATTTTATGGCTTTAAATTGTCGGTAATGGGTATCTATTCAATGTTAGATAGGAGCCACGTTATCGGGGAGAAATATTTACTTATCGCGAGGAAGTCCCTGACTGAGAGCTTCTTGGAGTAAGATAACGTAGGGGATAAAGAATAATCACCAGCTTTTAAATTTCTCGTAAATGTGTCATAATTACTTTTAAAACGTGTAGGTATAATGACCGATTTCATAATAAACTAAAATATATTTTAAATTTACAGACATGTTAAGGCATAATTACGACAATATTTAATACAATCCCACAAAAAAAGAGGAAATAGATTTTCTGTATTTTTTTATGCTGAATCCTAATCCGTAGCCTAAAAACGGATTTACCAAGTCATCTTTTAATAAAACGCTAAAATATCCCCTAAAATGGAATGAAACAGTGAGGATAAGATAAAGCTTTGTAATGAAAAGCATCAATTTGTAAATCAATAATTGAGAAAACATTTTAAAATAATATTTTGAGCAATGGAAGGAAATATATCCAAATTAAATCCATACCCACCCCTACGAAGGGGTTAATTTCAGGCCTAGGATTAAATAATAGTGCAAAACAGTAGCCTTGTATTTTATACTACCAAATATACAGGGTGATTCAAAATTCAGTACGAAGAATTTAGTGCCGTATTTTGGAGGTCGAAATAAGAATTTTTTTCCTATAAATATGTGTCCTGTGTCCACAAATGTTTAGTTTTAGATATACAGGGTGTCAAGGTCTTTTATTTTTTTCAATTTTTTAGAAATAATTTCCAAATAGATTTGATTGTATGCATAAAAGTTGAGGTACGAGGTTTTTTAGGATGAATATGTCATTGCCTTTGATGCTGCTTGTGGAGGACACCACCTATAAGGGTACTCTTGAATTAAATTGACCCTAACATTTTTGCTACCCCGTACATTGACGTTTCGTATTAGTGCTTTTCGTATTAGTGCTTTTCGTATTAGTGTTTTTATTCCCCTATCAATTTTAAGCAAAAGGGGTATGCTTAGTCGAAATCTCTCAGATCAACAGTTTCCAAGATATTGGCTGATGAAGAGATTTTCCAAAATTATTAACTATTTGCGGTGAAAAATATTTAAATTTATTTTGAAATCACGTTCATAGGGAAAAAAATCTTATTTTGACCTCAAAAATACACCCCTAAATTTTTTTTACTGAATTTTGAATCAGCCTATGATATAAATGTAGGCTGATAGACACCATACCAAAATAATATAATACAACACCCTCAAAGGGTAGAAAACCACCTACAGACCAAGGTACCACATACCCCTTCAAGTCATTTTTCTATATATATTTTTGCTGCCCCGGGTTTTTAGGGTCATGAATCCGAATCCGAATCCGAAAAGTTCCGAATAAAATATGGCGGCTGCAGTATACTGTAAAATAACCGGTGAGTAAAAGCGGAAAGTACGATGTGAATCCATTGTCTGAAATTATTGAGTACATTTCCACTCAATATTGAGCATTTTAATAAATTTACTCATTTGTGGTAATACACTGCACAAAATAATTAGAGGGACACTTATTTAAATCTCAATAACTTTTTTATTTGTAATACTATATAAATCTAATAATGCATATATTAAAGACTAACATTTTGTTCAAATAAATTTACGAAAATAAAACAAATTTACATAATTATTCTTGAGACAATAGTACCAATTCAAAAAAACTACAAGAAATAAAGTGAAACATACAATCAAAATTTCAATTTAGAAATATACTGTGCCTTGGAGTAGTAAACAATGTTGACAGTTCAGCATAAATTGTGGCATCTAAGTGAAGTTGAAGTCGTTCGTGTTGTTGCTAGTATAGAGTATGGCACCAGTATTCGACAGGTTGCAAGAGATTTTAACGTAAGCCCTTCTGTCATCCATCGCGTGTGGAATCGTGAAGTTGAAGTCGTTCTTGTTGTTGCTAGTATAGAGTATGGCACCAGTATTCGACAGGTTGCAAAAGATTTTAACGTAAGCCCTTCTGTCATCCATCGCGTGTGGAATCGTGAAGTTGAAGTCGTTCGTGTTGTTGCTAGTATAGAGTATGGCACCAGTACTCGACAGATTGCAAGAGATTTTAACGTAAGCCCTTCTGTCATCCATCGCGTGTGGAATCGTTACTTAGAAACCGGGGGATATAAAAGACGCATTGGACAAGGTCCGAAGAGGAAAACATCCGAATTCAGAACAGGTTTTTAGTCCTATCCTTCTTGCGTTCTCATACATCCACAGCAAAAGACCTTCAAAGTAGGCTCAGAACGACTCATGGGTTGAAAATTTCCGATCAGACAGTTAGGAATAGACTGAGAGAAGCAAACTTGAGACCAAGAAGACCCGTGCGAAAACCTATTTTAACTCCGTATCACATAAGGTCTCGTTTACATTTTTCACGTGAGCATGTGGCATGGCAACTTCGATATTGGAGACCAGTACTCTTCACGATGAGTCACGATTTCGTTTAAGTCGTTGTGATGGTCGAGTACGTGTATACCGACGTCCATATGAACGCCATTCTTCAGCTACCATACAAGAAGTCGAAAGATTTGGTGGTGGGTCAGTGGGTTTGGGGCGGAATTAGTCTTGATGAAAGAACCGATCTTGTCATAGTTCCAGGGGCTCTAACCGCTGAACGGTACATTGATCTCATTCTAGAAGATCATGTTATACCAGCCGCTTATGGTATAGGTCCAAATTTTCTGTTTATGCAAGATAACGCAAGGCCACATACTGCGATTATCACCATGAACTACCTTCAACATCACGGGATTCAATCCATGGATTGGCCTCCGCTAAGTCCTGATCTAAACTCCATCGAACATCTTTGGGATTTGTTAGATAGGCGTGTTCGGAGGCGCCCAGACCCACCTCAGACTTTCCAAAAAGTTAACAAATGCCCTAATCGAAGAATGGGAGAATATACCACAAGAAGACATTCGTAGGCTCATCCGAAGCTTACCACGTAGGTGTCAAGCAGTAATTCGTGCTAATGGAAGACATACACGATATTAGTAAACCAAATCTCACCGACCTTTATGTTATACAGACAGGATCACAGGATCCTTTATTTTTAACAAGCTGTTTCTGTCACACTGTATAAGTAAAATGAATCAATAGCTATAACCCACACATATACATCTTATATTAACAAATTTTGCAAATATCATGAACACGTATCATCGTTACTCTTTTTATTCAAAAAGCCGAAAACGAGTTTATTTGGAAAACTAATTTTCATATTGAATATGGAGGTATATACTTACAAGTATATTTGAAGCTTCCATTAGCATACTATCTGCATCAGAATTTGAGAGTTACGGCATTATTCAAATATACGTGTTAACGACTTTACGGGCATTATCGATTCCCACAATACGAGCAAAATATACCTACCTATACATTTTAACTGTGTTTTATGCTTGACGACTTTGTGACAATAATGTATTGCATAATGTGCCCAAAGCTTCTGATTAATATTATATAACTATCAAAATAAAACCTAACTTATGCATCAAGTAAATTTTAATTAAAAATATTAATGCCGATATTTCTATTACTAAGGAAAGTATGTACTCTTGTGATAAACCGAATCATTTCTTAGAAATTCAAGTTTACATGAAGGTGCGTTTGTAAATTATCATAAAATCGGACAATTTCCAAAAAAGTTTCTTTAGGAAGAAAAGAAGAAAGTTTAACATATTTCACAAATTAAAATAAGTTAAGTAAAACTAATAAGATCTATCTCTACGTGCGAGAGATTTGAATAACATTGTCAACATTAGAAACCTTATACCGTTTTTTTTTTGTGGAACCCCCACCCCTTTCGAACACTTTTTTTACTGATTATATAAAATATTTATAAACACTAGTTTTAAGTAAGAGTATAAATTTTCTTGAATTTGGTTGTATCACTATTGTTAATTTCAAAAATTTTGAATTTTCGACTTAGTTGTAGAACCTCCAGAGTGGTTATGGGGAACCCCAGGGTTCCACGGAACACAGTTTGAATACCGCTGCCCTAAGTCAAAGTTTAAAATAAGTAGAAGATTCCTAGGAAGATTTTTAAGATAACTCAAAAATATACATATCTATTAGAGAGAGGTATATTTTCCTTATTTTATGACAATGTTTATAAAAAATTTATTTTTATTTTTTAATAAGTACTATTTGTCCTGAAAATATACGAAAACAATTTTACATAAAGACAGTTTGATGTAAGTTCTTCAGTTAGATAAATTAAACTAACCTTGTTTTGTTATAAGTAGTTAAGTACACAAATGTATTCAAGAACAGCCGTAAAATATGAGCTTTGATCAACTGAGATTATCTCCTATGTTAAACTTAGAATCAGATAGATTGCCTCATCTAGCTCTTGTTGTAATACGTTATTCCAAGCGTAACCGATATAATATTTTTTCTGGATTAGCTAGATATAGTACAGTGCGGACAATATGAGATAAATGAGGTTGTTACGCTCGTACACAGGAATGTGGAACCATAGGCTTATATAAATTTGTATTTTCTTTTCAAGAGACATAATTGACAGTGGAAATTACGTTAATTTAAATGCTGCACTTTACCATGGTTTCAGTCAAAACAAAAAAAACTAAGAAAATCATATTGCAATTGGTAGTTATGGCAATAAAACCCTAAACTGCACATAAGTAGCTGATAAGCTGCAAAAGCAATGTGTCTCTTTATATCCAGATGTGTGCAATTATGAAAAACAGCTACTTTGTGGGATAAAAAGGAAAAGGAGCAAAATAGTTATTTGCCTATGTATCAAGGGTGTTATAGGGATTATATTGTCCTGAGGTCGACGTTAATTTAGAACTAAGTCCAAAGCATGATGGGATCCATTAATGTCTGCGGTGCATACATGATGTTATTTTTCACAAATAATCGATTTTTCTGAACGAAAATTATTTTAGATCGCCTATACAGTTATGCTGATAGTTTCTGATACTTTTACTTACAGACACAGCAGAAAATTTATTATCGATTAAATCAAGACCATTGTCGACAAATATGAAATATTTATTGAATGGAAATTGAGAAATAAAATAACAGAGTAAACGGGAATTGGTATGTTTGATTTTATTTGACTTCGGTTCATGCTTTTGATTGAATTTTGTTCCGAAAAATATTCTCCCAATACCCTATGGGCCAAATATTCCATTAATTGTTAACGAGAACAGTAACATTTCCTGTTCTCTCCGCTTTATATCATTTTTGAAAATGATCTCTAAAGGATGTGTTCAGAATGAATCAAAAGTATTTGAAGGGGATCAGGTTTTAACTTTTATTAATAAAGCAAAATATAGTAGGTTTATCCATGTATGTTTAAAAAATAAAGCAGTATCTATGGTGCTTTTTATGGAAGCGCTATGTTCTTAATTTAACCGAAATTTATAAATTACTACAAATCCATTTTTACAATTTCACATATTTTATCATTATTACATCTGAAATACTATCATATCTAAAAACGTTTTAAGTCTAGAATATCTTAAAATAAATTATATTTCAAACATGGATAATACTCACATTTCACAGTATAAATGATATCCATGTTTGGAAGACGTATGTAATTTGTTAATTTGCTTTTGATTTTTTAAAGATTAGGTTAGCTTTCATTAGACGGAAATTGCGTGAAATTGAAAAGTTAATGTGGATGTCAGAATCTATGTTAAACTGGTGCATCAAACTCAGTTATTTGAACCATGCAGAAAGCCTTAATAAAAATTTAACTAAATTTAGTCCCATGAGGTTTAAGCATATTAATCTATCAACAACAAAATTAAACTCCTGAATTTTTGGCAGATACAGGCAGGTGACTTAAATACATACATGCATATACATACGTTCTCCATGCAATAACATCTCTAACACAGATTTAAAAATATTTTATGTTTTCAACATTTCTAATATTTACAAAACAAAGGAATAAATTATTATTATTAAAAATGATTAGTATGCATGGTTTTGCTCTTTTACTCTCATTTAAAATAATAAATTGATCTGAAACCAATATTAAATCACTACAATAAAAGAATAATGTGCTAGATCGCCTAGAATAAGACCACTTGGGTGACTACATAGCCACCAAATAGGTGTAAAATTAATTACACTATAAGTATCTATGAAGTCAATCATGTGAAGAAATTTTATGTCTCACAATTTATGGCTCACAATTTATCGTGAGCCAGTTTGCGGCTGCAGTCGTAGCGAAAAAATATGTCGTCCGGTTTGGAATAATTTAAGTGGTGGTGTTTAATTTATTATCTCATTTATTCGTTTTAAGGATAAAAATTGTCCGAGACTCTGTTGGACGAATTAAATACAATTACTCACTTATTTTTATAATATTGATTATATGTAGATGTTATATAGAAATTTAAAAAATATACGAGCTATGTGAGAAAGCTAAATAATTACTAATTTAATTACTCTTAAGTTAGTTATTAGAATTTCAAACAAATGCCAAAGAAATAAATTTTGTTGTCAAATGCATCAACAAGTTGATCATTGGAACTTTCATTTCCATTACCTTTTATTTTTTTCAATACCTTGAAATGTATTAATACCATGCTTATATTAAAAATATGTAACCCTCAATGTTCTGTTCAAATGTGAGGTAAAAACGTAAAATTTGGCAAACCAAGAAAAAATTTAAAAAATGAAGAAATGTTAAGAATGAACTTAGTGAAATGAAGATCACCGAAATGAGATATATTAATACATTTTTTATCATTTACTTTAATTAATTAATTTACTAATATTATACCCATTTAACCTACTTCTAATTAAAAAAATTACTCCTCTAATAAAATACATTTTTGTACCTTGTATAAGATTTCTCGATGACACAAAAATAAGCTAATTAAAACCTCACCTTGGTTTGTTGTTTCAGATAAATGTTTTGTAAATATACAGGGTTGGACAAAGTGTTGGTGCACCTGTATACAAGGTGAAACATAAGTTTGATTAAAATATACCTTTTACCAAAGTTTTTGTAGTACTTTTATTCTCTTCAGTAACGTACTTTAATTTCCAACGTCTACTTTGTTTTTAGAGATGCGGCTTTGTTGGCAGTTTTTTTAAACGGACCGCCCTTTGGATTTTGCAAGACTCTTAATACTTCCCATTTCATGAAACTTTTTCACAACCCTTAAAACTGTTGATTTTCAAGTATGAGAATTTCTTTCAGGGAAAGTTGCATTAAAAATATTGCATGCATCTTGCAGAGATCTCTTCCTGTCTCCAAAACCAACCACCATCAACAACAAAAATCTTCACTTCTTTCACCCATAACTTGAAGTTTGAACAGCAATCTTAATAATCACTAATCTTAATCTGTCAACTATTGACTGCATCTGACAGGAATAAATGATTTGATTTCTTTTAAATACAATTTTCAAAAAAGATAGCAAACCCGATTACTTTTTCAGGTAGGCGTGACAAAAAAAATGTAAACAGCCAACTCTTTATTTTATTGTTTTATTCAACCTTTAAAGAACAATAAATCGCAGGCTCACCAAACCCTATATCATTGTAATAGGAGAAAATCTGTCTTTCTAAAAATGTTAAAATAAACAGAGCGGTCCATTAAAAAAAAACTGCCGACAACGCCGTGTCTGTAAAAATAAAGTAGATGTTGGAAATTAAAGTAAGTACGTCAT